TTTTTTGAAGTTGCCTAGAACTGGCACTTTCTGAAAAAAATATTGGCGATGACATCCCATAATTTCTGATATATTTTATATATTCTTGGAATATGGGTCAAAACGATCATAATGTCTGCATATTGCTGTATTGTGATAAAATGTTATTATCATTTGAACATCATCATCATCATTTCAWCGTCATTATTGTGTTTTAGAGTATATCAACTTATTTGGCGTTACTTGCCTGAACAGCCTGAGGGTCCAAAACCGTACGATCCGGGTGCACAGCGGTCACATCTTTGGCCCATCACGTTAGGTTTACATTGACACTGGCCTCCAACAGGGTCGCAAATAAGAGATCCATTTGCGTCCCTTTTAGTTCCAGTAGGGTCGCACTGACAGGCTGAAGAACACAAGTGCAAAATAATTGATTAAGATACGTAMAKCCAAGCTTGTTTAAAGKCCCRGTTTGCACCATTATGCTTTGCGCGCCTCTGTTATTGTTATGATTTACACCAAAATACTTYTAGTATCCAAATATCACCATAWAACGAATTTCAGATGGTTGAAARCTGTTATATTGGCGTTTAAAGYGCTTAGAAAAGTGAGATGGTCAAAGATTCAAAACACACAGTACAATTTATAGATTTTCGGTCGACTGAAAATGGCTCCCGTCCCCCAAAGCACACTGCACACTGGGCCTTTAAGTCCATTTATTAGGTCCATTCGAGGACCGTTGTAAGAAGTGGCTTAAAATTGTTCATGTTGTACTATTGTATATAAAATATAACATACGTATAGCTAAGCTTGTTTATAAGGTCCATTCGAGGACCATTTCGAGGACCATTGTAAGAAGTGGCTTAAAATTGTTCATGTTGTACTATTGTATATAAAATAAAACATTTCCTTACTCAATGATCCATCAAATACAACTGCAGACATCGAGAAGACGAGCTTTTCGCAAATTTTAGATAAAACTGGTCTTGGCAAGTTTTGATGATTGTCTCTACACCGGTAAACATCGTACTGTTGCTTGCGTTTCAGTCCGTCGGGGCCTTGGAAGATACTGATTTTACTGTGATCCGGTACAAGAACAACCTGAAAAGACATCAAAGTTAATGTTGGGCTACCTGTGTTCTAGTTAAATGTTGTTTGGATTTCCTGTGTCTACACAGAGAAATGAGGCGGGTTTGTAGTAACGTATTCCATATATGGCACAAACTAACAAGCGAATAGAAGCACCTAACAAGCAAATAGAACCACCTAACAAGCGAATAGAAGCACCTAACAAGCGAACAGGGGTCCATACTTTTTTTCACTTGTATATTTTTCTACAGTTTTTTATCGACTTATTCGAGCTTTTTAGCTACGCCTTAACTTATTAAAAATTTTCTTATCAAATTTTAACTTAGAATTATGAATTTAACATTTTATAGCCTGACCCGTCCTTTTCCCTAAACCTAACCCTTCGACTACAAATGTAAAGCGCCTTAACTAACTTGACCACGAGAGATTACGCTGGCAAACAACGAATTGTTTGTGACATTTAAAGTATTTTGCATTGTTAATAGCACCGGTAAATTGGGATTCCTTAGGGGCCGCTATTCGCTTGTTAGATGCTTCTATTCGCTTGTTAGGGGCCTCTATACGCTTGTTAGTTAATACCATATATGGAATACGTACGACAACCCTACCTCAGAGAAATTCAATTTCTACTTACAGAATCAGTGAAAACGGAGTCGCTTCCAAACGGCGAAGTTTTCACAAACTTAACTCGAACRTCGTAAGTAACACCCTTCTCAAGACACAAGCTTCCCGGGACATATACGAAACGTTGATTGTGCCTCAAGCGAATTGTCTTATTTCGATAATGCTCAACYTCGCCAATTCTACTGCAGATACCGCTGGTCAGAGATTGGCCATCATCGCGGGAGATGGTCACCACTGCGTCCCAGTCAATATTGTCCTGATAGATAAAATGGCGGTTAAGTAACGTATTGTACCACTCAACAGTTCGAAAATTGCCTGCTTGAAATTTTATATCAACTCTCGTGCTTTATGAAAAGACCTTCAAATAAAGAATAGTCTTCTTCACGGTTCCCTGCGCCATCTTGAAAGGTAGCCGTGCTTTTGAATCGAAGCGAGACAACCGTTGAGCGTGCAATAGACCCCTTGCAGTTCATGGGAATGCAGCTHCAACTGGRGGACAAAACAATAGATTCTAGTTCCCAAGAGGATAAAAATCTTTTGTTTTGTCCTCCAGATGAAGCTGCTTTGACGTCACATGCAAGGGGTCTATAGTCCATATCACAAGCCCGCCATTTTGAATGGTTTTGCAATGTATCATGGGATATATATCTCCCTTTCTTCATCAAAACAAATCGCTAAAATCGTAAAAACACTAATTAGTTTCTATTTTCCCACAGACAAAATATGTTTCTTTTCATTTTTGCTTGGTTTGCCTAGTAAATGGAAATTCTTGATTAACTGTACATTTTTTGGAGGATTTTCTTGCTGTATTTCCTTGCATGTTGGTATTTGTTTGTTTTTTCGCTTCTGAGATTAACCACAATATCAATATTTCCCAAAGTTTTTCGAAAACTGAGTCTACGTTACAGACAACTGGAGCACTGACATCGTTGTTCACTTGTTTACTCATTTATCAGTCCCAAAATGCATTGCGTCACAAGGCTTTCTGTGGGTTGCGATATGGACTATGATAGAAACCTTCTTTCACACCTACAGACAATTATTCACAGCATAGTTAGTCCTATCTATTAACTATGTTCACAGGTATCTATCATTGCACGCTCAACAGTCGTCTCGCTTCGATGTAAAGGCACAGCTACCTTTCAAGATGGCGCAGGTAACCGTGAAGAAGACTATTGAGTTTTCTGACCTTTGTTTCGTATCTGAGAAGTACAAGGTAGTCTGTAGTGTGAGGGACATTAGAGATAGTGTACACAACAGATGAACCGCTCGCTRCTTCAAGGAAACCTTCACCGGTCCATGTAGCCTTGCCATCGGGAGGYGGTTTTTGGCGCTTAACTTCAGATACCTATCGAAAGMAAAAGTTTATCATTTACAGRTTTTACTGAACGAAAATGGCTTCTCGAGTGCTTCCTACAAACCAACGTGGACTAAAACATCTGCGTTGTTATTTGACTTTTTGTCGGCCGCCGCCTTTTCAATCAGTATGCMCCACGCTTGCCGCTTCRCCGYTCAAGACTGAAAGCCATCTGACGCGCAACTTACAAAAACAAAAACACAACTTGYTTTAGGAAAATCAGACCTAAATTTAATATTTGCAATTATTAAGCCATAGCTGTCTTACTTATTGATACCAATTGATCATATAAAATTTCTTTTTTTTAACCAACTAGGCTTCCCTTGTCATATTGCTCAAATTGTTTAATGTTGTAAGCTATTTATAGATACGTGACCCAAATAATSCTTAGTCACGTGATCTTCACATGCGTAGACGTCCGAATGTGTCCACTGAAGTCAAAACATAGRAACAGAAATGATTGATGGTCAATTTGTGCGCGCTATTTTCAATGATTTTAAACTCAAAACAGGATAAMRATAAGWTGCGCTTTGGCATATTCAAGTTAGTTTAAAAGCTACCTTTTCTTTATGTTCATTTGAATTAATTAACTGATGCACTGTGATTGGTTGGTTGTTAATTGGCCAAAGTTAAATCTAGCTACTGTTCGTGACTAATTGACAAGCTTTTGAACTGCTTAAACAACAGCTGATCAGCCAGTTTATTCAGCACAAGAAACAAAAAGTTAGTCCAAGTAAGACATGAATTCAACTGTGTGCKATAGCTTGGGGCAGAATTACCAAWTACARGGAGTCAACACCATCGCAAGCAAGTTGAGGTTCATCGAGTATAGTCTACCACTAGCCATCGCAGTAATAGTACTSAACTGTCTACTGTCAATCACTGCAATTTTAACCAACAGTCTCGTCCTTGTAACATTCTTTACCTACAAACAGTTACACGTGCCTAATAACTTGCTACTGGCCTGCTTAGCTTCGTCGGACTTWCTTGTTGGTAGCGTGGTTCTTCCATCGTTTGTTTACGGCCTTGCGGAAGGAGTCAYAAGAGAACAAAAATGCACAATCGATGCGCGTGTCGTTATAGAGATTTTATCTGGGATGAATATATCTGTGAGTTTAGGATCCTTGTTGTTGATAACAATCGATAGATATCTGGCCATTGAACGAGCTCTTCGATATYACGTGATTGTGACTTATAGACGGACWATTTTCGCTGTAGTTKCTACCTGGATCTTTGCCTCCGCACTARCTATCTGCAAYAGACTACTTTCTTCCTAYTCTARCTTCATTGSCGCTCTTTGGTGGAGTTACACTATTGGAATTTGCATCGCTGTCACGGCTATCGACCTTAAACTTTATAACACATCGCGGAAGCATGTWAGAAGAATAACAATTCAAGAAAAACAACTAAAYGTTACCAAGAACAGAATGAAAAACATGAGGAGCGCAAAAACATTCGCTCTCGTATTCGTGACTCTATGTGTTTGTTATTTGCCATACTGTGTTTTGCGAATAATAGAAACAAAATTTCCTTTTCTGATTACTAATAATGTTTTCGTTCAGGACGTTATGATAAGAATTGCTTTAACCTTAATGTTCAGTTGTTCAAGTATAAGCCCTGTTTTATATTTCCTGCGAAGCAGAAGRCTTCGATTCTATTCTCGAGGTATTTTTGCAAAAGTTAAGGTTGCGTTGACGAAAAATAACCTCGGTTTTTCTTAAGAGTTTCTTTAAGTTTGACTGAAATAGTTACAAATAATCAAAACACAACAAACTCTAACTATACAACACTTAGCGTCGAACTTTTCTGAGGAAGTTTTTGAATCATGACATTATMATTTGTAATTTTTTTATTTCTATTCTTTAAAGAACAAACTAGCTTCTACCATTCTAAAACTTAGTAATATACTTTTTTTATGAATAAAATTAAGTTGACATCAGTTCTTTGTGGAGTTTATTAAAGTTAGTTTTTTACGCTACACACCTGTGCAATAGTAGGTGTTGATTGCTCAAGTAATGTGCTTTGTCTASAAGTCTAATTKGTAGACGKTGTGATTATAATTTGGCCCACGCATGTTGCGTCATCTTAGTGTTTCTATAAATAGTGGGAACTAGCGGTAAACTAGTGTGAGCTGCGTCGGTGTTTCCAAAGAAACAGTTGTGTAAAAAGATTAATTTAACACCGTAAAAAAGCATGTGAAATAACTTACTGACGTTTCGGACGTTAAACCTTCGTCGGAGTAAAGAGCGAAGGATTAACGAAGGATTAACGTCCGAAACGTCAGTAAGTTATTTCACATACTTTTTTACGGTGTTAAATTTATCTTTTTACACAACTGTTTCTATAAATACACACTGATTGCATCATTATGCCTGATAAACCATTGTTTATCAAGTCACAAAGAGATGGTCAGGTTTTGAAGTATGCGKCTGTGAGAACTGAAYTGATTCGCTACTATTCAAACGGAACGCASRCTGTTTTACGTCGTCCGTACGTTTTGAAGCTAKCGATACGTATTCACGTAATCAAACGTAAACGATACAACSCAGAGCAAGCTCCATYGGTACRATCACGCAGTGCTTATAATTCACGTACCGTGCGTTTTATTCGACCATACGCAAACTATAACGTAAACTCCGCACGCACGTCCACGCTAATGCTCCGTAYTCACGTATAACGTACGTTTGACCMAACCATACGTGAACGATTGAATAACGATATTTAGCAGTCGAATCYCCTGATRTCCAGAAATTTCRTTTTCTTTACAGCGTTAACGCCGTACTACGGAAGAGAAGACTACGCTTTCTGAAGAAGCCGCTTTGGAAGGCTTTTTCAAAAGTATGCGTCGCGGGTACTTTATAAATAAGCGTTTTTATTATCTATTATATGTGTACGGAAAGTCGAAACGGAGAAAAAAATATAGTATWTATATGTCTTCAGGGTTTCATCGTTCACGAGAAGTCAAACTTAAAAGATGCAAACATCAGCGGAAATAATGAAACAAAAACTTTCCTTTTGGGACTTCAGGACAAAATACAGTCATTGTTCTTTGTTTGTTCTTTGTTCTTTACTTTATGCGAATGTTGAATGCCTTTTATGTCAAACAAAGTGATTTAGCTATAGTGTGAGGTGCTTCAAGGTTTCTAACGAACAATCAGTTAAAACCCGGCTTTAACGTATCCAAAACTACGGTCTGGAAGCCTTTTCCAGAACACAATGAAGATGAATCCACATGGGGCCATTCATCTTTTTTGCGTTCTGGTTCATTGATACCGACAAATTGTCTCTACATAGCCGTTATTTGTTAGTATTTAGTTTGATTTGATTTCATGGTTTTCCTGTGTTTGTTCTATATTGTGCAATACACTTATGGGACAAACGCTTGTCGCATTATGAATCAATGCATCTGAGCATGCTCACTAAGTGTTCTTACCTGGATCGCCTGCGCCTCCTCTGACTCGTACACCAAGTGATCAGGAAGAGGAAAATAGTGTCCAGGYTTAACGCGGTCACATTTACGACCGTTAATCCCCTTACGACATCGACATTGACCGGTTATCTTCTCACACTGGTTGTCATAGGAACCGCCGATGTCACATGCACACTCTTGGCAACCAGAGGGGCTGTCACTTAGCCCCCAGTAGCCATCCTGTGTAAGAAAAAATATATAAAACAACTATACTTTACGGGGAACTGAAGGGGACTTTTTTAATCTAATTTTATTTGTAAGTTCATTGTCATGAAATAGCCTGCGGGATTGGGGGAAGTGGAAGAGGGGGGGAGAGGGGGGGGGCACTCCAAGAATTAGGGCGAATAGGAAAAGGAAGTGCCTTCATCAAATAATTCTGCTGCGCTCTCTTTAAAGGTAGTCACGCATTGCCTTTACATCCTCGCCTGTTCCTCGCTCCCAGCTTACTCCTTGGTTCCCGAGGATGTGCCCTGTGTATTGACTGAGGGAAATAAACGTAGTAATAGTTCCAGGGTAATGGCATCGTATCATGTCACCTGAGAGCACTTGCTCAAGAATTTACGTTTAGCTTACCAAACATCGATCACACTTTTCTCCCTGCACGTAACGCTTGCATGTACACTTGCCAGTATTTGGATTACACGGTCGTAGAGTRCCTAGTGMGCTACATCCACACGCTAAACAACCAAAAAAATGTTATAAGACAGTTCGAGAACAGTAGTMACGCAACATAATCACGCAATGYATACCTTCACATCCTTCGAAGTTACTTGCGCTAAGACGGAAGTAGCCAGGTTTACATCGGTCACATCGAACGCCGTCTACGTTCGCCTTACAGATGCATCGTCCGGCTATTAGACCCTTTGATGGGTCATTTTTGGCCTCGCACTCACCGCCGCTCACACCGCCATCAAAGTCACAGTTACAAGCTATGAAAACAAAGATAAAAGAAGCTATAACGATATGGACTGAATATAAATGCACACTTTGAAACAATAATCTTTGATCAGTTTTGTGTTTTGGGTCATCAAATTTTGGGTGGTGATTCTAATTTCTTTTTCATTTCCTAATTTTTCCTAACCATTTAGTCGAATAAACTTTTAAAAAGTAGGGAAAATATTTAAGATATACCCCCATATCACGGACAGCGGTTTATGTCCAAGTAAAGTGAATAATACAACCTATAACACAACCTCAATATCTCGGGCATCTTATCGACCGTGCCTCGTACTCGAGAGGTCGAATTCCACAGAATTTACATTTAATATCATAAAGTTTTATCGTTCAGGGCACACCCAAAMGCCTGTCACGATAACCTACAAATGTTATTTCAGATAAAAAACAAAAACATGATAAATATACAGGCTTTTCAAAATGTTCTTTCGATCAAACGTTCTTTTCCGAGATCAACCGTTCGATGAATGAAATATTCTATCTTCAGTGATAAACGTAAGGCCCTTGTAAAAGTAAAGTTTCATTCACTTTGAACAAACGTTCCATGACTTCGATCAAAGATTCCATGGCAATGAACAAACGTTCTATGACAGTGATCAAACATTCCATGACTTTGATCAAACGTTCCATTCTGACCGCAGTCTGATGAAACTTGACGTGCGTGTGTTTTTGAAAAATGAATGCACGCAATATAACGACAAAYGGAAACCACGAGATCGAACRCCTATATTACGGTCACCTCTATATTYCGAGCACCWCTATATCACAAACTCCTCTCTGTATTCCGAATACCCCTACTTTCCACACCTCTATAACACGGACATCTCCATAATACGACCAACAGTGCTAGAATATGGATTAGTCCAGAAGAAAGAGATCATCAATTGTTATTTTTTTCAGATATGATTTGTACTTACGAATGCAGGCGTCAGGTTCTGAGAAGTCCTTGTTGGGGTCCTGATAGTGSAGAGGTCTACAGCTTTCACAGTTTCGGCCAACTGTATTATGKGTACAGTTGTCACACACTCCACCGCTTACGTTACCAGAAGCAATGTATACAGCCATGTCGAAGTGACACTTTGTTGCGTGACCGTTACAATTACACTCTGAAAAAAAACAAAACAAAAATAGAAGTGAAGAATAATTTTTATAGGAAATAACGGAGAATTAGCTTTTAGATTATATTCAACAAAGAAAGTAGGATATGAGGCAACAAAAGAGCTGATACATACTTTTGCATTCGTTTGGATTGTCACTAAACGCTGGTTGCCAAAGAACGTCTTCATAACCATCTTCACATCGCTCACAGTTGTCTCCTGTGGTGTGATGAGTGCAGTTACACTGCCCATAGACCTTCAAATAAATAAGGTACATTAAAGGAAAGCAGCCGAACACTTGGCGAAATAATTCCGARATTCATCCGACACACGTACGATTATGTGTCGAAATTCTATGCGATTTATTACTTACTTACTTACATGACTATAACATAGTGATTCTACGTCTAAGACGAGAGCAACCACAAAAAGATATAAAATCATAGTTTAAAGTTTTAATAAAAATATAAATTTTAAACCGTCGGTAAAATGATAAAAATAGTTCCCGACGCATTCGATGTTGGTCCATTTTCAGAGTAAACAGGAACAACGAAGTAACAACGTSYAAAWCTAWCTTCCCATCTTGTTACGGCATACAGTCAACTCTCGCTATTACGGACACCCTCGGGACCGTAATTTATTGTCCGYAGTRRCGAGAGTTACTTTCARTCATTTCTTYGTATTTTTCRCCGGGGATTCAGCTTTTACTRCCCGCAATATCGAGGTGTCCGTTGTAGCGGGGTGTCCGTAAGGCGAGAGTTGACTGTACAAATTATCATATCATATCGACTGTTTCATTACGAGCAACAACACAACACAATATATCGTTTCACCATACCATTCCWGCTTTTGGTTTCTGACCAGGAAGAGGTAAGCACTGCTCGGCATGGCCATAACACGAGCAACTTCCACGAATAACAAGATCATACACGGCATAGTAGTACTTTCTCTTGATTTCTGGACGAGGGTCGAGAATATCATCACCCAATGTGTGTAGTTTGGTGAAGTTGATACGAATGTTGGTTAGTTTTAGAAGGTTTTGAACCTTAGGGCTATATGGGTCTTTTATTGGCTCTTGTGATTTTAGGGCACTGAAGATAAGCTGAAATAGTGAAAAAAACAAAACAGTCACATTTTCAAATTATAAAAAAACATAGTCATAGGCTATTTTCTCTCTCCCCCTCCCCCCATGGGACAAAATCACTTATTCAATTCCCCATAAATCTAACTGTCCCCTCCTTCCATGGGAGGAAGTCAACACTTCAACTGTGCATAAACCTGATTGTCCCTTCCACCCATGGGACAAATTCACCCATTCAGTCTGCCATAAATCTTACTGTCCCCTCTCTCCATGGGAGAAAGTCGAATATTCAACTGGAAATAAAACTGTCTCCTACCCCCATGGGGCAATTCAATGTGCCATAAATCTTACTGTTCCCTCCCCGCATACATTAGAAATACTGTACTCNTAGCATACACAACATGTGTCTGCCACTATGCTGCTTAAGATTGTTAAAACAATCTATTTGAGTAGTTTAGTCAAAGAAACGCTGCAATAAAAGTCAATTTTGTGCATAATTTTCTTGCTCTAGACAATACGCATCTTACAAAAATGATCAGTTACATCCGTTTTACATAGCTTTTAGCTATATATTACTGACAAAAGCACCCCCCTTTATTAAATGCTTGATCTGCCACTGAAAAGAGATATTGTTCACATCTCCATGGCAACTTACCTGGAGATAAACCTCTTCTTTCCCATTTTCTGATTGCCACCACTGGCTGTTATCGCCATCAAAATTTGACAGCATATATTCTGGTAGATGTCTGAATGCAGGGTTTGTATAATTTCTTGAATCACAATAAGAACATTCCTCTTGTTCCTTCAGATTTGAGACCATACAGAAACGCTCAGGTCCTCTAAGACCACACGTTGAGCTCGCATATAATTTTTTTTCACGTCCAACCAACAAGTCTCCTGTTGCTGGATAACARCTTCTTGTTGCACATTGYGGAGATTGTGTATGTGTTGGTACTACTATTGAAACAAACAAACAAAAAACTCCATTTATGAAAGAAAAGTAAAGTTCTATCTGGAGACAGGAGACAGGGCCAGGAGAGCTGTTTTCTAAAACTCTTCTTTGTTTGCCTCTTCAAGGGTTGTCGAGACGCGGGGCCGAGGAGGCACAGGATTGTGGGGTACTGGCCCCCCACAAAACGGCATCGGCTTTATACATGTACATATATACACGCTTTTATAAATCGGTAAGTTTTTTGTAGCCAACAATTGTTTCTTTTACTAACTTGTTTCAATTATTGCTCATCAAGATATCGAAAAATAGTGGTTTTCTTTGAGTTACCGGCTGTCAACAGGAATAAGAGCTGTGAAATTTGATCCAATGTGAAACAATACGGCAGGGTCGAATAGCGTGATATCGAGAAGTTACGATAAATAATGACCTACAATGTCGATATTATGATCGTCTACTGATAAAAAAGGTCTAGAGAGTACATCTAAACAACGGTTCGATTTCTTTGCTATTCGTATTCGATTTGATGCAGAGTGGATTCTTGAAAGATTAAAACAACTATACCAAGAAGTTATTCGGGGAATGATACACTTAAAGACGAAGTTCAATACTTCAGATTTAAACAAACTTTAGTCCAAAAAGTCCAAAAGAATCAGTGATTTTTACTTGTTTCAAAAATAATTATTTTTTCACTGAATCTTTAAGTGATCAATAAAATTGCGCGCTATCAAACACAAGCGCGCGCACGGAGAATTCTTACAATCACAAAAAATTAAATACTTACTAAAACTACTACATATTGTTACTGCAAGAATTACAGCCTTCAAATCCATGGCCATTTTGATTTATATTTCGTGAATTGAAGCGTGTCTTTGACTTCAAAGTGCTGTAAGTAAGATAAGAAGAAGATCATTCATAGCGTTGTGTGACTTGGATTTCATGTCTGACCGTCGACGATTTAGATCAAGAGATTTAGGACTGTCAACTAGCTCTTAGAAATAAAAATTGCTTCTTTTTAAGACCACTTAGAGATGATTAATACATCTATAAAACTTACCAAACTCCTAAAAAAGCTTTTCAAGTACTCTTACGCCAAGAAATCACACCACGCTAATAGACTTCGGGACGGACGACAACCAAATCGCTGGCGGTCACAGAAATACGATCAATTTCTTCTCAGATGTCGGCCTCTAGCCCGCTCCAAAGCTATCTGTACGAAGCTGTACTTCTAGAAATGGCTCCAGAAAGTAGAGAAATCGYCAATCTAAACAAAYAAGGYAAGTAAACGGGCCAAATTCACCAACATCTAGAGATATGTGACATAATTCTTGATCTGGGAGCAGCGCATCGCCAAGGACCGGAAATACGATACGCGTGAATGAATCAACGGAATGTTAAGATAGACCAATCAAAATGCAGTAAAATTTACACGGGGATTTCTCTCGGGACTCCCAGACCACCACCAAATACCGAAAATTAAAAGTAAGTTCGAATTGCAAAATAGTTCCGTTTTAAGTTACAAACAATTGATATTCCAGAAGTCTGACGGATCGCAACATCTACGCCCAAAAGTATGTCGAAGAAGTTTCACGCAGTATCAAAGATTCCTAGATGAACTAAAATGAGGACCGGGTTTTTTTTCGATTTGCTATCAAAAAAATACTATTTTTTCGATTTTTTTGTATTCAGAAAGTTACTTTAGAGGAGATTTCCGATGAGCTGAAGCTAGTGGCCACAAAAACCGCATAGCCGGTGTTCCTTTCATCGCGACAAAAGGTCAAAAAGTCTCGTGCCAAATATCACAACAGTGTGAGTTTTAGATAACCGTTTACAGTTACCGGACTTACCAACATCAAGGGACCGAGGTCTTGGGTGTACAACCCGTTAATTAAAGACCTTTTCGCAATATCCCGGTCTGATGTCTGATCGACATGGTGCTGGCAAATCAGTGCGCTTGGTCACCTGGAATTCCGACAATCAAAAGAAGTATTKTTTGTTTCTTTGTGCAACATGTCGCAACCGTTTATGCTGTCCAGAAATTATCCCTTAAATATATAGTTCATATATATAGGGAATACGAATATTTCTCCAACAGTGAGCCGAAAGACGTAACAAAAGAAATATCGGCTTCTCTATGTTGCGTGGCGCATACGCCTGCGGTAAAAGCATGCGAGAGATTACGACAGATGATACCCTTGATTACGTTACGTATATTGCTACAATAACAAAATCCTCTGACCATTCCAACGCCAACAATCAACTCGAAATAAAATAATTCGCTTCGGGGCAAAGGAGCAGCGTGTGTCGTGTTTGGAATGGACTATTTGAAAACCGCGCGCTCCAGAACTCTTTACCTAAAAATTTCGAGGTTATTTAGGGGGATGGGTTGCGTGCTACTCATTCAACGTCTTTATCTAGCCTCCTACGCAGGCGTTTCTCTTCCTTTTCGGACTCTTTGGCTCCCTGTCCCTCCCTGACCGAGAGAGACTGTGATCCCGGTCGGCCAAAATGATACCGTAGGGATCCCGCAAGTGTAAAATGAAAAGTTGTTTGCGGACTAGGCACTCATTGTCGTAAAACGCGCGCAAATGATAAATATCCTTTTAAATGCTTTTGATATTCTGATATATTTTATTATAAATACAATATCGGTGAAGATTTTTAGGTGCATTTTCTTGTCTAGAAATCGTTTATAATTTATTAAAGGCAATCAGCATGCAGCCATGCGCAAAAGTAATAAAAATTGATAAAAACAAGAAAAGATTCTCAATAGATATTGCTCAAATTATTCATACAATCTATCTAATATAAATACAATATACTTCTAGTTCTATTTAAAATGTATGTATTTTACGGCCATTTCTTATTGATTTGCCATACACTGGCCTGRGTTTCATCCAGCGTTTAACTAAACCRGATGTACGCAGGCTAGCAATATACAGTCTTTCACGATATTTGCATTCACGCATTCACCTCGGTCCCACGACCTTTTCAAAATAGCGATAAGAGAAGGCACTGGGAACTTGGTTGAAACGCAGGCTCACTGTGTATATGGGCACAGGGAAACCAACGAATATAATCTATTTTGTTRCGCTATCATCATCGACAAAGCTAAATTTCTAAATAGAATCTGAACAGAAAGGTGTGCATTAAGGTAAGACAGCAGTACAATCTGGTTATGTACTTCTAGGTAAGAAGTTCATAATAATAAAAACATTGCTCAGCATCCATATGGAATCCAGGCTTATAATTTAATAAGAAGTGCTTTAAAAAGCAAGCAGTGGTTTGTTTATCGAACATTACCAGAGTCCAGGCACAAAATTTACAATAGGCCAGAAAGAACGCTTGATCAAGGTTTACAGAAAAGGCCATAAAAGCGTTTGATCAGGACAAAAGAACACGTCATCGTGGTAATGGCGTTTGATCAGGACTAACAAGGCGTTCTATAGAAGAATACTTGATCATGGCATAGACGATGGATCATAAAAGCGCTTGATCATGCATTACCGAATTGCAGCAGCCATGAAAGAACACGTGATCACAGTGTAAGAGACCACAAAGCCACCCTCGATCAAAGCTTCCAATTGCACTYTTCAGTAAACATATACTCATCAATGAACATTCTAAAGAATACGCCTCCTTCTAGTAAAACTTCACCAACTTGAGAATCCCGATCAATCGTTC